CTGAGGGAGCTCTATGTGTAGTCTTTTGAGGAACCTCCATACTGCTTTCCAAATTGGTTGGACAAGTTTACATTCCCACCAACAATGCAGTAGGGTTCCCTTTTGGCCACACCCCCTCCAGCATCTGTTGTTATTAGATTTCTTGATGTAGCCATTCTAACTTTGTGAGGTGGAATCTCAATGTTCTTTTGATTTGCATTTCTTTTATAGCCAGAGAAGTTGAGCATTTCTTCATGTGTCTATTGGCCATTCTTATTTCCTCTTCAGAGAAGTCTCTAAGTCTTTACCCCACTTATTAATCAGGTGGTTGTTTCTTTGAGGATTTGTTGTTGGAGGAGTTAATTTTTTGAGTTCTAAGCATATTTTCAATGTGAGACCCTTGTCTGTTGTATGGCTGGTGAGGGTCTTCTCCCAATCCGTGAGCTTTCTCTTGATGCCCAGCCATTCATGCATTTCTTATGTATTACTTTGAAAAGTCTCAGGATATACCTCAATAATGGAGTGCTTACCATCCAGGTGCAAGTTGTTGGGTTTGTTCTCCAGTGCATGAAAATATGTATATGATGTTAGAAGAGTGGTTTTGAAAAGAAATTGACAGCATTTAGAACTTAACAGGCATTCCCTGTCACATTTCTTGTTTCATTGCCTAAGTACTTCCTTTAAAATTATTCAGTGTTTTGATGTATTGCCTCAAACTAGAGTAATACTTTACCAAACATAGCCCATCCATAGCCTTTAGATATAGATACACTATTGCAGGCCCTGAAATAAAGGAAAATGGGAAGAAATAAAGCAACTATCTTTCTCTACTCAAGGTGACAAAGAATTGTTAGAGGTAGATGGTATGTATTGCAGAACTCAGGCTACAAAGACAACTCCTTTCAGAAAAATTGTAACGGTATTTCCAGGTTTCCCCCCTCTACACATTTGAGTTAATGCATTCTAGAAAGAGTGAGCTACAAACCTAGGAGTCATCGGCAAAATCCTCCCTTCCTTCCAGTTCCACAAGAACCATAAGTAGGTGGACAGGTGTGCGGTAGAGTGGCAGCCTTGTCACATCATCATGCTCTGCTTGTCCAGTTGTTGATCCAGCCAGAGGTTGCAACCCAATAAGGAATAAAGGACAACTTCATTCCAACTTGTCTTCAAATTCCCAACTTCACTTATAACCTGGTATTAAAAGGGAATTAACTTTGGAATAAAATCCTTCACGGATGGTTTTAACTATATTATTTGCACATTATTTTTTCTTTTTCCTTAATTTTTGTTTCTGCATAGGGATGATAGTAGCTATATGGAGTTTTTATGAAGATGAAATGGGCAAATACATGAAAGCTCACTGCCCACAACCTGCTCAGGAAATACTGACTGTCAGTAGTTTGGGTTTTCCATTGGTCCTAGGGTTTGAACTCAGGGTGAGCTGGGCACTGTTCCTGAACTTTTCTGGCCCATGGTTAGTGCTTCACAACTGTATTCCCAGCTTTTTGGTAGTTTACTGAAGAGACTCATGGACTTTCTTGCCTGGACTGACTTCACACCAGAATCCTCAGTTCTTAGCCTCTTGAGTAGCTAGAATTAAAGGCGTGAGCCACTAATCTATGTATTTCCTGCAGTCTGCCCCTGCACCCTCTTTTAATTTTCCTCTCACTGTCTAGCTCATTTACTGTCTTTCATTCCTGGCCCTTTGGCTTCTCTAAATGACATTTCTGTGGAGAAATTGGGATTCTTTGCTGTGCTTTTTATGTATAGCCACCAGAGGGCGACATAATAAGATGCAGTGCTATTCACCTAACCACGCTAGACATGGGAAGTAGCCCCTACTAGGTACCTGTGTGAAATCAGCCATTCAAAAATGAAGAGATCTTAGCCAGCTCCTCCACAGCTTCTTATTTTAAAAACTGGAATGCTGGACATTTAAACACATTCAAGCAAGTAGGAAACTGACATGTCCAATTTGTATAACTACTTGATTATATATATATATATATATATATATATATACATACATATAATATTTTTATGTATTAAGCAAGTAATAATGTTTTCCAAATCACTAGTTAAAAATGTTCATTTTCTCCTTGTGACTTATTTCTTTAAAAACTACATAAAAGCAAGTGAGTCTCCTTTCAATTTATTGTGAATAATATAGATCAAAATAAACTCAGATACTAATTAAAACTACATACTCCCTAAATTTGAAATATCTCAAGTATATTCTAAATATTGATTTACCTTCCATCAGTTGAAATTTGTCTATACTTAGATGTCTGACCTATTTCAAACATTCAAACAATGCCTTAACTTTAAACAACTACACATTCTAAAATAATTACAAGTTATACAAAGAAGCATTCATGCTTACATATCAGTGACCAAAAACGATAGAACAGTAAATATTTTATATGGTTCAAAATATAGATTACAAATATAAACAAATTCATTAAAAGTCTATGTGTGCTGGGCACTGGTGGCCCACGCCTTTAATCCTTGCCACTCAGAATGCTGAGATCTGAGGATTGCAGTTCAAAGCCAGCCCAGGCAGAAAAGTCTGTGAGACCCTTATGTTCAATAAAACACCAGAAAACCAGAAGTGTTGCTGTGGCTCAAGTGGTAGAGTGATAGCCTTGACCTGAAGAGCTGAGGTACAGTTGCCAGGCCCAGAGTTCAAGCCCCACAACCAACACAAAAAAATAAAAAAAGAAGTCTATGTGACAGAACACTTTATATTTATTCAGCTCCCTTTTACACAGATTCCATCTGCCAGCAAAATGTTGTAAGTTTCCTCTTCCTTTTTGTTGTGTGTACTGTTGCCTCATTCTAACAGTGTTGCTGTGATCCCCTTGGGGACAGTCCCCACTCCACTGTACTGCTGTAGGTTGTGACAGTGCTGTGTGTGTGTCACCTGCTCAAGGGACAATGGAGCTGCCAAGCCAACACCCTGGGTGCCAGTGGCAGTCTACTCTCCTGTTCAAGTTACACCTGGAGAAAAGACATGTAAAACATTGTATAATTTTCCTATAAATCACCTTTCTTCTAATCCTGGGTTTTGAACTTAGGCTTTAAGTGCTATTTCGAATTGTTTTTGACCAAGACTAGTGCTCCACTTCTAGCTTTTGGGTGGTTACTGGGAGATAAGAGTCTCACAGACATTCCTGTCCAGGCTAGCTTCACACTGTGATTATCTGATCTCAGCCTCTTGAGTAGCTAGAATTAGAAGCTGAGCCACTGGTGCCTGGCAAAAGTGTGTGTGTGTGTGTGTGTGTGTGTGTGCATGTGTGGATTGTGTATATGCATGCGTGTACATGCATGTGTCTGTGCATGTGTGTGTGTGCACGCACACACACCCCTATTCTGGTTCTTGAAGTCAAGGCCCTTTCCTTTCACTTGGACTTTTTACCCAAAACTGTCACTTTACCACTTAAGCCATATTTCCACTTCCAGCTTTTGCTGGTAAAATAAAATGAGAATCTTTTCTGTTTGTCTGCCTGTGCTGTTTTTGTTCAGAGATCCTGAGGTCTCAGCCTTCTGAGTAGCTAGGATTACATTGTGAGTCCCTATTACCCAGCATTAACCTAACACTTTATATTTATGGGACAACCCAAATTCTGAATTTAACTGAGACTAATGGTTATGTAGGCATACTGTGAGGTACAGAAACATGGGAAGGAGAGTTTTCTGTTGCAGTTGTTCATATTTGTTTCAGAAAAAAGACCTGCAACTCTAATGTGTGTTGTGCTATGCCAAGAGAAGAGAAAGCTTGAGAACCTAATTATAGAGAATGGGAGACTGAATGAGCTAAAGAAATAGAGTGTCATTGAGATGACTAAAATGGTCTTAAGAATTCATCTGAAGTTGATGCTCATGAAGGTAAAATGGATATTATTCCTTGCTGAGTGGGTTTTCCAGCAAAACTAAACTACCTTTGTGCAGGGGGAAATCATAGGTGATGAGAATCAGTGATTGGTCAGTACAGTTGGGAGCAATACGACAATGTCAAAATGTTCATTAAGATTATCAGCCTGGTATGGTTTTACACAACTGTCATGCCAGTATTTCAGAGGTTGAGGCAGGGAAGTTCATGAACTTGGGACTAGCCTGGTCTATGTAGTGAAACTCTGTCTTAGCAAGCAGGCAACACACACACACACAGAGAGAAAGAAAGAGACTTGGGTACTGACAAACCACAATTTTCCATCTCATTATAAAGAAAACTTCAATGGACACAGGTTTCAGAGTTCCCTGGGAAATGGAAATTCCCCTGAGAAGGTAAAGGAGAAGAGGAAGGACGCTTGCAGACAGCATGAAGTCCTAGGTCTCCAGGACCCCTGCTTTCCATCCTCTCATGGCTAAGGCCACGACTCAGGTTACCATAGTTCTGTTTCCTCTCAAGTCCCATTCTTCTTCTTACATTAACCTTCTTTGTGAAGATTTAGGGACACATTGAAATTGTTAAGGAACTGGGACCGTGATTTAGCTCTTTAGACCAACCCTCTTCCATGCAGCTTCCAGCTTCACGAAATGGTAGAAACCATAGGCAAGACAGGAGAGGCATCGTACCGTCTAGCATTTTAGAAATGAAAAAGTACAAAAAAAAGAAACCTTATCTTTGATATGTGACTCTTTTTTATCTGCTAATCCTTCATTTATCAGTCAATTATTCTGCCAATTATTCCACAAGTTTATATTGAGTAAATATTATTCATCAGACACTGATCTTTCTCACCCCAAAGACTTTGTATTCAGGGGGGGCGAGGGCCTCGGGAAGGGGGCTGGCGGTCCGTGGCAGTGATGGTTGGGCGCTGGTCGTCGGCCGAGCTCTCCGGGAGACCGTGCTCGTGCTCCTGGAACCGCCCGCTGGGCTTGAGCGGGGCACAGGGCTTGGGCTTGGCGGTCTCAGGCCAGGAGCTGGCACTGGCGGCTGGGGAGGTGAGCGCCTGCGGTGGCAGGGGCCAGGGTGGGCGGGGAGGGGGGCGGGAGGCGGGGCCGGGGAGCGCGCCGCCATGAACCACAAGATGTTCACCAAGGAGCTGGACCAGTGGGTCGAGCAGCTGAACGAGTGTAAACAGCTGAACGAGAACCAAGTGCGGACGCTGTGTGGGAGGGCTAAGGAAATTTTAGCACAAGAATCAAATGTGCAAGAAGTTCGTTGTCCTGTTACTGTCTGTGGAGATGTGCATGGCCCATTCCATGACCTTATAGAACTCTTTAGAATCGGTGGAAAGTCGCCAGACACAAACTACCTATTCATGGGTGATTATGTAGACAGAGGTTATTACTCTGTGGAGACTGTGACTCTTCTTGTAGCATTAAAGGTTCGATATCCTGAATGCATTACAATATTGAGAGGAAATCATGAAAGCCGACAAATTACCCAAGTTTATGGCTTTTACGATGAATGTCTACGGAAGTATGGAAATGCCAATGTTTGGAAATACTTTACAGATCTATTTGATTATCTTCCACTTACAGCTTTAGTAGATGGACAAATATTCTGCCTCCATGGTGGCCTCTCTCCATCCATAGATACACTGGAGCATATAAGAGCTCTGGATCATTTACAAGAAGTTCCACATGAGGGCCCAATGTGTGATCTGTTATGGTCAGATCCAGATGATCGTGGTGGATGGGGTATTTCACCACGTGGTGCTGGCTATACATTTGGACAAGACATTTCTGAAACGTTTAACCATGCCAACGGTCTCACACTGGTTTCTCATGCTCATCAGCTTGTAATGGACGGATACAATTGGTGCCATGATCGGAATGTGGTTACTATTTTTAGTGTACCCAATTACTGTTACCGTTGTGGGAACCAGGCTGCTATCATGGAACTAGATGACACTTTAAAATATTCCTTTCTTCAGTTTGACCCAGCGCCTTGTCGTGGAGAGCCTCACGTTACCATGCGCACCCCAGACTACTTCCTGTAAATTCCTTCTGAGAAAACCTTTCTTTGTATGTGGAAGTATACCTGGCTTTCAGTGAGTGAGTGAGTGAATGAGTCAGTGAGTGTGTGTGTGTGTGTGTGTGTGTGTGTGTGTGTGTGTGAGAGAGAGAGAGAGAGAGAGAGAGAGAGAGAGAGAGAGTGTTTAATACCAAACAAAAAGACAACAGTAATCTTTGTGTTTCTGTAACAAATTGTGATCTGTCTTGGCATTAAACCACATCATGAACCAAAATGTGCCATACTAATGATGAGCATTTAGCACAATTTGAGACTGAAATTTAGTACACTACGTTGTAGATGGGCCAGTCAACAGTTTGCCTGCTGTATTTGTAGTAACTATTTTTCTCTGGACTGTTCATACAGAAAAGGTAACAAACTTCTTAATCTCCTTTTGCGCTTATTTGTAAATTTTAGTTATAGTGTTTAACTGGCATGGATTAATAGAGTTGGAGTTTTATTTTTAAGCAGAAATGACAAGCTGACTTCCACTTAATCCATTAACCTTATTTTGTTGAAATGTATAATTAACTAAAGAAGAGATTCTTCTTGAAAGTATGTTGTCATAACATGAAAAAGATTTCCCTCCATTTAAACTAAATTACTGTTTTATGTTGATGTACATATTTCTGTATATTTGCCATGACAGTGCTTGCATCCTATTTGATGAACTGAGCAAATAAACTTGCCATTTAAACAAAACAAAACAAAAAAAAAGACTTTGTATTCAGACTTTATGCTTCCCTTTTCAACAACATAACCCAAAACAATCATTTCCTGAGGGATACTGATGAGATTTCATTTATATAATTCAGTCCAATATGTGCATCATTGGGACTAACTGTAACTATATGCCAAGCTCTCTCCTTAGGACTTTATATAGATACATGTTTGTGCTTGTAACCTGCTATGAAGTAAGTACTACTGTGATCTCCATTAATAATATGAACAAACCAATCCAGGTGCCATTGGTTCATGCTTGTAATCCTAGCTACTCAGGAGCCTGACATGTGATGATCATGTGTCAAAGCCAGTCCAGGCAGGAAAATCCTTGACACTATACTTAACTACCAAAAAAAAAGCCAGAAATGTACTTGTGGTTCACTTGATAGAGCACCTTCCTTGAGAAAAAAAAGCTCCAGACACAGCACCCAGACCCTCAACAGAGGTCCAAGGACTGATACTAAAAAACTTTTTAAAAATAAATCTGGCCATGGTCACTTTTATATGTATTCCTAGCTACTCAGGATCCAAGGCTAGCTCCAGGCAAAAAACACAAGACCCTTACTATTTGGAAGAGCAACCTGTACTTTAATACTAATTGCTTTATTGTTTACAATGACCAAGGCATGGAATCAGTATATCTACTAATATATGTGTGGATAAAGAAAATTATACACACATATGTATATTCATATATATAGATATGTACATGATACACATAAATCACTAAAACCATCTATGTTTGTTTATATTTGCATTATTATATATCATGTAACATGTACAGAATACCTATATCAAATATATCACCTTCTATGCATGTATAAATATATACACACCCACAGAGAGGAATCGTTTTCTGTGATAAATCCCAAGGAAATCCTGCCATTGGCAACAGCATTTCTGAACCTGGAAGACATTCTACTAGGTGAAATAAGTCAGATGCTGAGACAGATATGAATACGTCCATTTACACATGGGAAATAAAACAGCTGTGCTCTGGAAGTACACACACACACACACACACACACACACACACACACACACACACACACACACACTAAGAATGCTCAAACTTCACTGCAGTCATTTTATCCTCCCTCAGACTACCTCACCACCTCACCTCCTCTTCACTGATAATGTACCCATATCTCCTGCCTCTTGCCTCCGCCATTGATTCAAATCATGTATATTTTACATTTTCCTCTTTCCTCTTTTTCATCTTTTAGGGCTTAAGTTCAATGCTGACTCCTTAAAGATTCCTTCTTTGTAACTACATCATGGCTCATAGACAAGTAAGAAATACTAAATATGAAATTTCCAGGTAGATAATTCAAGTTATATTAAGCATTTGAAAGCAAACATGTATTATTCTGTGTAATACAAAGATAGTGATACAGTTAAAACCGACCCAAAATCTCAATTGTAAAGAACAAAAATATCATTAATGAAAATGCAGTTTTGATTCTGACTTCAGTATTCTTTCTTTATTTTTTTAATTGTCAGGATTTTGTGTAGAGAGGTTTCAGTTACATAAGTAAGCTAATGAATACATCTCTTGTCAACTTTGTTTCATTTCTTTCTTTTTTTATTGTGATAATACCGTACAGAGGGGTTACAATTACATGGGCAAGATAAAGAGTACATTTCTTATCAAGCATAGTTGCCTCCTCTTTGTATTTCCTTCCCATCCCTTCCCATACTCCCTCCCTCCCCGCATCTGATCCTTCCCCCACCTCTCCGCCAAAGTTGTAAAGTTCGTTTTTCTATATAACAACTTGTTGCTTCATTTCTTCATACAGTTCATGTAGAACTTTATGTGAAGATGTTGACTCTTTTCGTTTGCTTTTTTTTTTTTTTTGGCTTGTCCTGGAGATTGAAATCTAGGCATGGGTGCTGTCCCTGAGTTTCTTTTGCTCAAGGGCAGCACTGTACCTCTTGAGCCATAGCACCACTTCGGTCTTTTTGGGGTAGTTTATTGGAGATAAGAGTTTCATGGAGTTTTCTGCTCAAGCTGGCTTCAAACCACGATCCTCAGCTCTCAGCCTCCTGAATAGCTGGAATTAGAGGCATGAGCTAGATGTTGACTTTTAACATGTCTCCATATTGTAAATTTTTGGGTTCATTTGTTTTTCCATTCATTTGTTTACTCATTTCTTTAACTTCAACTCATGTCATTTCTCTGCTCCGTACAGGGGAACTGAGGCAGAATGAGGCCCCCTAGGCTCCTCTGTAGAATTTATATCGAACCTTCTCTTCTCCTGGCCATTAAAAGTAAGAATACACAAATATGCTTTGAGGTGTTTTCTGATGGGTTTTATGAATATATATTAATTAGATATAAACAGGAAGAACTTTTTATGTGTATGCTGGTCATGGGGAAGAACTCAGGGCCTGGGCACTGTCCCTTAGGTTTTGTGTTCAAGGCAAACACTCTAACACTGGAGCCATAACTCCACTGCTCAATTGGTGGTGGCTAATTGGTAATAAAAGTCTTAGGAACTCTCCTGATGATACTTGCTTCAAACTGTAATCCTCAGATTTCATTCTGGTGAGTAGCTAGGGTTACAGTAGTTAGTCTATGGCACCCAGCCCAGCAAGAACTTTTATCAGTGTATGTGGTGCTTGGAAGGGAATTGTAGCTCATGCCTTGCACAGCCTGTGCTAGTGCTCTAACACTGGACTCCATAGCCAACCCAGGAACATTCTTAATATTAAGGAATAGTAATATGCTTTGTGGTCACTTGCTTTCTAGGAGAGATAGACAAAGAACATAGACCACAGCGGACAGCCTACAGCACACATGGCTATGTTGATGCCCTTCCAGTTTCTACATGAGTCCTTTCCTCTTAGACATAAAGTTGGACAAGAGAATATTTATTTCTCTTCTATGAATTCTTTTTTATATGCAGTGTGAGGGTTTGGACTAGTGGTTTTGCACTGTGTAGTGGAGCACTTTACTACTTGAGCCAAGTCCCCAGTCCTTTAGCTAACTTTATCTTTTTTTTTTTCCCCGCCGTGGGCCTGAACTCTGAGCCTGGGTGCTGTCCCTCAGCTCTTTAGCTCAAGGCTAGCGCTCTTCCACTTGAGCCACAGTGCCACTTTCTGGCTTTTTTCTTTTTGATTATGTGGTGCTGAGAAATCGAACCCAGGGCCTCATGCATGCAAGGCAAGCGCTCTACCACTGAGCCACCTTCGCAGCCCCTAATGTTATCTTTTTTTATTTAATAACATTTATTCAATTATTACGTATTTATCAAGTATCTGACATAGACCAGGCAAACAGAACAGAAACAGGAATTACTTTTCACTCTTTCAGCAATGGCTACATCTTCATTATGAAAAAAAATCAGTCTACTGAGTTAGCCTCCATCCATTGTTTGGTTAATCTTTACATATAGTTTTTAAGTGTGCTTTCTTATATTGCATAATGTTGTAGACTGTTAACTAGTCCAAAACGTGTCTGAAAGATCAGAGGACTTACCATTAGTTTAATTTCTGTTTGACAAAGCAGCACCCAGTGAAGTAAAGCTCTTCCTTTTGGTGGCATGGAACAGTATGGTACTTGACTGCCAGACGTCCATTTTTAGAAAAAGCCAAAGCACTGGGATGTAGTATACCACATACGGTACTAACCTGCAAACTTCTCAGGATGCAGTTTTCCTTGCATCCTGAACACAAAGCATCAGTTACAAGGAGCTTGTAAGTAACTACTGAAGATAAAAATGGAAGCATAGCCAATGATGAATATGTCTTCAAAGTATCATAATTGACTTTCAAGCAGCTTCTGAAGACCAAGTTTGCTGATATTCCAGAGTTGCTAGCTGTTGTTCCAAGCAGGATGTTCCATTTATATTTAAGGCCTTTTCTTTTCTAAGTGATTCAATTTTTTTCTATGATATCCATGACTATTTGTCTTCTAAGTTTTGCATCTCTTAGGGAAGGAGTTGGATGATCAGGTGGGTATACTGCTATCTTGGTGTCCTCGGGCCCGGTATCTCTCACCGGAACCATACCTCCTAACATTATCTTTTTGAGATAGAATCTCCCTAACTTTTCCTGGACTGGCCTCAAACCACAATTTCTCTGTCTCAGTTTCCTGAGTCAGTGGGATTATATGCATGCATCAATCATCCTGCAAAGCAGTCTTCTTTTATGAATCCCAAATAAATGCAACATGGATAGATAAATTACTCTCAAAATGTATACATTCTATAGCATCAATATCCTTATATATATAATACTTGTATACTTCAAAGCAACCTTCTTAATAAGTTTATCACACAAAAAAGCAAATAAAAATATAACAGTCTAGCCAGGTGCCAGTGGCTCACACCTGTAATTCTAGCTACTAAGGAAACTGATTTCTGAAGATCAAGATTTGAAGCCATCCCAGGCAGGAAACTGTGAGATGCTTATATCCAATTAATCACAGAGAAAGATGGAAGTGGCACTGTGGCTCAAGTGATAAAATGCTAGCCTTGAGCAAAAGAAGCTCAGGGACAGCCCCCAGGACCAGAGTTCAGCCCCACGACCAGCCAAAAAAATAAAAACTAAAACTAAAAATTAAATATCTCTT